TATTCTTACCATTAAGTATGAAAAAAAGATGATTGCATCAACACTGCCAATTCCCTTTACAACTTTAAACATCTCAATCAGATCCCCCCTTATTCTTCTTTTTTTCAAGAGAAAACAATTTCAGATATCTTAACTTTTCCTCCTATGACAATCTCTTCATCTCAGGCACCACTCTAGTAGCCCTCCTCTGAACCCTTTCCAACAATTTAATGCCTTTCTTAAGGTAAAGAGCCCAAGACTGAACAACCTACTTTTAAAGTGACCTATAAAATGAAATTATAACCTCTTTAGACTTGTATTCAATATTTCTGTACATACAACCTATAATCTTATTTGCTCTACTAGCAACAGCACACTGCTTGAATAGCTTAAAAGACTGATCAAACATCACACCAAGATCCCTTTTTTTTTCCATGATACTGTTAAAGTTATCCCCATACAAATTATACTTATAATTCAAATTATGATAATCCACATGCATTATCTTTCATTTATTGCAATTAAAACCCATCTGCCATATATTTGCCCAACTCACTCAATGATCTAAATCCTGCTGTAAAGAAGCAGCATCCTCTTCACAAGACCGTAATATCATCATCAAATTTAAGTAATTTATTGACCATTCCTTTATCTATGTCTGATGTAAATCAAAAAGAGCAAAGGCCCTATCTTTTATTTATTTATTATTATTATTATAAGCCTTTATGTGGCACCTCGTCAAATCTACACCCTTACCCTCATTTACACAAGTAGTAACCTTTTCAAAGAATGTCAAAAGATATGTAAAAGATATTTTCCCTTAGTGAAACCATGTTGACTATTCAATAAAATTCTAAACTTTGTTAAATGACTTTGCAAAACTTTTCCAACAACTGATGCAAGACTAATAGGCCCATATTCACTGGAATAATTTTTATTACCTCCCTTAAAAACAGGAGTAACATAAGCTAACTTCCAATTTTTTGGTATCTGCCCAATATTCAAGAACATACAAAAAATAGTTGCAAGTGACTTGCATATTCAATCCTTAACATCCTTCAAAACCCTTGAGGAAATACTATCTAGCCCAGAAGCATTATCATTTGTTTAAACTTCCCAATTTTTCTCAATAAGCTCAGAATTAATGCAATCATATTGTCCAATCTTTTCCCCATCTACCAACTGTTTAAGATGAATAATACTGCTTAAATCTTCATTAGTAAAAACTGAAAATAAAGCAGAATGTAATAACTCTGCCATCTCATAACCAACAGATGCAAGTCCTACCCCATTCTAACATTGTTTACCCTTAATGTACTTAAATAAATCCTGTTAAATTTTACATTGCCAGTCAACATTTTTTCATAAATCCTTTTTGATGTCCTAATTCCCTGTTTGACCAACTTTCTTGAGCATCTATAATCTTCTAAATCTCCCATCATACCAGTCAATTTAAATTTCTTAAACTTGTGATGCTTTTCTTTAATTTTTTCTCTTATCCTTTTTGAGCAAACTTTGGTTTTTTATTTGCAGCTACCCTTTCTTTCTACAGGGAATATGTTTATCTTGAATATCTAAAAATTTTCATTATTTGATTAGTTTCTTCATAAAACTCAGCTGCCCAATTCACAACAGATAATTCTTTTCACATACCTTCAAAATTTGATTTTTTTTTAAAACTTGTAGCCAAAATGATATCATTTCTGATCTCCATACCTAGCAAAACATCAAACCTAATAGGGCAATGAGCACTTGCACCTAAAAGTTCCTCAATTTCCACCCTCTCAACAATTTCTGTTAGAAGTTAACAGTAAACCTACAATAGCATTGTTTCTATTAGGTTCCTTACACAATTGGTGAAGAAAACCATTTTGAATAGTTTCCAAAAACCATCTAGATGATTAACTAGTTTTTAAGATTGTATCTGTTTAATAAAACAATATTTCTAACCTGTTTCATGACTTACCAGCAAGATGAATTACAGCTAAGCCTAAAAGTACCACATGTACTAAGCCTAATCTAATGTTGTAGTACAGATTAAACCACTAAGCTCGATTTTAAAACTTTAACCCTACTCTTTATATTTACCAATCTTACTAAATCTAGTTATTCTTTTTGCTATTCAACCCAAATCACTACAATTGATAATACTAATATTAAATATTCAAAAATCTATAACATTATAACAGCTTATCTTTCCAACATATTCTCTCTTCTGTAGTCATATCCTTTTTTTTTTAAAAAACAAAGAACAAAACTAGCCTCACTATTCCTAGTGAATCACAACTAATGCCGGGTTTCAAAAATTGTTACAGAAGGCATTCAATATGATTTCACCATTCTCAATCAATATGTCAAGCAAATCCCATGGTTCCCATGCTTTTAACAGAAAAAAATTCAAGAATAACTCCTAATTTTTTCCAGAATATTTTCATGAATTTCAAGAATTATTTCATGGTTTTTATTAGGATTTCTAGTGTAAATTTGACAATCAATAACAATGCTCACCATCAATAATATAAATTATTTGTATGGTGTTAAGAATTGACTCATTGCAAAATATGTCATCATAGATTTAGCAGTATTTATTTTTCTATAGCAATGTAATATTTGAACCACTGATTTAAACATCAGGTTCATTAATACATTCAACTAATCAACTTTCCTCACATGAGAGTAGTCTTCATAATTTCAGCTCATTTTGAGTTTCTTTTAAAAAGTCATTTTTTAACAATCCTTTGTTTAACATGATTGGCATCTTCAGGTATAACAGTATGGGATTAATTAACTTTTTTAATCCTATACTGTTGTACATGAAAATGTATCACATAGGCAAAACACTACAAAACCTGTAACAAGCTGAAAATACAATTAATACTGTCCATAGAATTATTCCTACAAATTTTCACAAGAATACTTTTTAAAACTAATTTTTTGTCTGAAATAATTATCCTTAGATTTCATGTGATAAAACTAGTAAAGATTCTAGTCAGTGTGTGATAGATAATACATAATTCAGTGAAAATAAATAGTACAAGGTTTACTAGTTGTCAAGAAAATCTGCAATAATACTAGATGAACTTTTTACAGATTAAAATGATTTACAAGGTAGAAATCAAAGTCTTAAGAAATATTTAAATTATTATATCACAAAAATCTTTAATTACACACGTTTAAGAATATTCTTCTAGTTCCATTATCAGAGTGAAAACAGCAAATAATAAACAATTTTATAAGTATAAAACTTAGAAAGAACATGTTAAAATGGTTAATGCATTTACATTTTTAAAGTACAGGCTGGAAAAACTATATAACCAAATGAGTGTGTTGGGAAAGTAAAAAATAAAAAAAAAAATTTAAAATACTGCTTATGACAGTAAACTAAGTGGCATATGATGACAGCCAAACTTTTTTTCCCCTTTTCAGGGCCTTCCAATCTACCCTATCTAGCTAGAGTTAGTTGTGATTAAATAGGAGTACTGTCCGTTTAAATATGTTAAAGACTTAACATTGTTACATTGTTATCTGTACATGCATAGTAGTTTCTAAAAAAAACCAGTTAAATTAAATGAGCAAGTTATTCAAGAATCAACACTTTAAGCAAATAAAAAATGATGAATATCAACTTGCCATAACTTTCTTATTAAAGCAATCTTACTCTGAGTACCACTGGTTACGTTTGTGATTTGTAATAAGTAGACAATATATTAAGTTAAAGCTGTGGTTACATAGGTAATAACCAGTGTGTGTGTGTGTGTGTGTGTGTGTGTGTGTGTGTGTGTGTGTGTGTGTGCGTGCATACTGTCATGCCAATGGAAGTAGTAATAGCTGTCATGTTATAATGAATCCCATTATTTGTTGGTAAAAAGAGTAGTCCAAGAATTGTCAGTGGGTACTGTTGTTGTCCCTCTGGTTGGCAGTTCAAAAATTTAGGTCAGAGGCAGATAGCCTTAACATTCAGTATCTTTGCCATAACTCAAAATCAAAGAAATAAATATTCTTGCACAGCTGAAAGGGCAAGCATAATTGGTGGCAACAGGAATTAGGCTCACGGCCCTCGAATTTGAAAACAATAATCACAGATCTACCCTGACTTGAAGTTTAACTCACTTGAATTAATAAAAAAAAAGAAAATTATAATGGCAATATTTCAATTACTTGGATAGTTAAAATAATCACAAATAGTAATAAGTTGAAACACTAATTTCATTTAGTTTATTTTTGGGAGTCAAAACATTAAACAAGTAGACTGAATGAACATGAATTGCTAAAAAATAATGTGAAATCATAATGGCAATATTTTGATAACTTGAATAGTTGGAGTAATTGAAAACAAAAATAATCAGAAACACTAATTTTTTTTTTTTTTTTATTATGATATTAATCAATGCTTACAGGAAATAAATTATAGTGATTGAGTTAATCATCCAGTTCTTCCTAGAATGTTTAATTTCTATACTGCTTTAACTTTTTTCTTTTTATAGTATAATTATGTCAGAGACTTATGAGTAAATCAGAAATAAAATAAAGTAAGAGCAAAGCTCCAAATTTACTTTAGAGGGCAAAATATTAAAAAAAATACAAAAAACAATAAATGATAGGAAACTAGTTACAAAAAATTCTCTAATAAAAAAAATTGTTTACCAAGTTAATATCTCACTACCAGTTTTAACTGGGCCTTATGGTCCACATGGGTCATGGGTCAAAGGCCATGTCATTATGTTTGTTGACTGCATTAAAATTTTATTTAACTACTATTTCATGAATTTATTTCAATAAGTTTTGTATCAAACTGTAGACTAATTTAAATTTTAGTATTATACATTATTTAATTTCTTAATTTAAAAATAAATATTAAAAATAAACAGTTAAATATAGATTTTTTTGTGTGTCACGTGGTATGTTGAATGCAGCACTGGTTCAAATCGATATTTGTGATGTCAAAATACTACAGTTTTACGAATTAGGAACTCAAATTACTGATATTGACAATCTAGAATATAAAATAAGAACCTCATATCGTTTGTATTTGCTGAAATATTACCCATGTACTGAATCAAATACAGTGGCCCTGCTCAATCTCTTTCAATTTTTGGAAACAGTCCCTTATATACACTTACTTCAATATACGAGCTGCAAATAACCAATCCAAAGCTCAGAATGTTCCCCTAGTGGCTTTTTCAGCCATTTTCATGTGTTAGGATGCCATCTTATTCTTTTGGACCAAGATTTCAAGGAGGTAGGTTGTGTCTTTAGTCTGCTTGAAATTTCATATTTTTTTTAAACTCAAATACAGCTTAGTTACTAAGCTTGATAAATTATAGTGGAGTTCTATGGCATTGATATAGTAATTTGATTTTTTGGTTATTCAACTGTATATATAAAACCTGAAGAAAATTATTTCATTTCATATCCACATACAAAATTTTAAAAGGCTTAGCAACTTGCATCAAGCAACAACTGAGTACAAAGATCGTAACTAGAAGAGAGAATTGTTTGCTTTACTTATTTATTGTTTATGTTTTAAGGAAAATAATTTTAAGAACTTATTTCTAAATACTAATAATCTATATACATATATAATGTATAATAATGGAAATGTGACTGTATTTTACAAAATACTAGTCTACTAAAACCCAACCAAGACAGGTCACTTTGTAAAGACTAAAGGTCAGTTTTATATTATTGGATACGATAACATAAGAGCAAATGTGCCGCATCATTGTAACTTCTGTATTGTTAGGCAGACATGGCTGAAAGGTCAAAATAATAATAAAAAAAAAAAAATATATATATATATAATGTTATGAGATTTAAGCTATTTAGTCTAAACACATTTTTGTTTTAGTGTTATAACCTGTTGTCAGTCTAAAATGAAAGAGGCATAATTTATAATTATTTCCTATTTTTTTTGTGGTGGTTAGAAGATTGGTCAAATCTACCAAACCCGTACAGTGAAAATAACAGATAAAATATACATTTTTCTTAAGAAATAGTTTATAACTATCTGAACATTATAAAGATTTCGCATGTGAAATTTGAAAATTTTCTGATGCATAAAAGTCTTTTTAATCTCAAAATGAAAATTACTTTGCATGTAGGATAGGCAACATGCGAAAAGAAAAAAAGGCACGAGAAAAACATTGCTTAACAAACTTTTAAGACTTAATAAAAAACATTTGATATTTTGGGTATAAAAGCATTGTAATGTTTACTGATAATGTGCCAAATTTCATTATCATACACTTACTAATTTAAAAGTTATAGCATGTAAACTATAATAAGCACAAAAATGGTTACGAGGTTGGACCCAGGGACCGAGCCTGTATTAATTGTTAAACCCTCCTCAGAAGTTATACTATAATTATACACAAGCTGTAATGGCATGAAAACTGTTAAGAAATCAAAAGTTCATTTCTAGCTGGTAAAAGAACACAGTCATTACACTAAAAGCTGAAACAACATAGATCTCTCTGCTCTAGTGAGAAAATTAAAGTACATTGTTTTTTTTTTTTTTGTTTCTTAGTCATGCCTGGCTAACACTATTGAAATTGCAATCAAGCAGAGCATGTGCACTCATGTTACTGTACCCAATAGTATAAAACTGGCCTTTAGCAAGTGATCTGTCTTAGTGTTGTTTTAGTGGACTAGTATCTTGTAAAACAGTCACATTTCAGTTATAATACATTATATATGTATAAAAATTATTACTATTTACAAATAAGTTCTTAAAGTTATTTTCTTAAAACATGGAACAGTAAATAAAGAAGTAAAGCAAACAATTATCTCTTCTCCATCACAATTCATGGACTTACAAAAATTAGCTGCAAGTGTCTCACTTATCCAATCCTTAACCTCTCCAAATACTTTGTGGCTTGAACTTGAGAAAACATCACCTGGCCCAGAAGTATTATCATTCTTTAAACTTCCGGAGTTTTTGTTAACAAGCTTAGAATTAATGTGATCATCTTATTTCCATCTATCAACTGTTCAAGATGAGGTATATTGCTTAAATCTGTATTAGTAAAAACTGAAGAAAAGGCAAAATTTAATAACCCAGCTATCTTAGAATCATCAGATACAAGAATCTCTATTTTAGTTTTTTATCATCCGTCAAAGGTCCTACCCCATCCTAACATATTATTTACCCTTAATCATTTAATGTATTTAAACTTCAGCCAACATTTTTTAATACATCCTTTTTGATGTCCTAATTTCCTGTTTGACCAATTTCCTTGATATTTTATATTTTACTAGTTTTAGTTTCAACTCTCCCATCATACCTGCAGTCTAGTATTATTAATGCATAGAATGAGTTTGATACAGACATTATCTTGAATATGTTCACCATAACAAACAGTCCCCCTCCAAGAAATAAGTATCTCAATGTTTAGCATATAATTTATAATATAAATCCCATTAATAATATCTTAGGATAAAAATTATAAAATACTAGGGTTAGTTTAGCACTTCTATCACTTGCCATTCAAACTTAAAGTTAGGCCTAAGCAATAGAGGTTCTAATAAAATAACTTTACCATTGATTGATAAACGTAGCTAGCATAAAGTTCCATGTTAATTTGTTTGTTAACACCCGCTTCACATTCAGCGTGGTAATTCTGACGAGGTTGAGTGTTCGCCATATTAATCTCAAAATGTTTTAAAATTTCGAAAGTTTATTATAAAGGGTTTTCAACAGCGCTACCTATAGCCTTACGTAATTCCAAGTGCTCTTTAAAAGCGTATTCGATTGGTTTGAAGGACGTGCAAGGCACTATACTGACTCTAGCATAATATTCAGATATTTATGCGGTCGAAAATACCATTTTTAATTTTTTTTAGATACACTGTGAAAGCTCCATTACCCGGGTATTTTATAGTCGAATACTAATTATTATATTTGTTATTATACTATACACATGATTTTATGATATATTAATTTAATATGCCACTATGTAAAAAACAAATATATATCCTCAGTTCGAAGCATGATTACGATTAATTATACTTGTCTTAGAATATTAACATTAGCCTTGTTATATTTTTAATACTACCTTCTTTATTCAGTCCCATATTTTTTCAAAAAAGAAAAGAAAAGTGTGTAATCATGGGTGTCCTAAGGACTGGGCAAGGGCGTTGCCCCCCCCTCCCCCACAGAATTGCAGTAGAAAGTTTATTTTAATAATTTATTTTAAAACAATGTATTAGAAAATAATACTATTGAAATATAAATGACAAAATCGGGTTTGCATAAATAAACTATAATCAGCCAGAGCATCGCATTAAAATTTCAAAGCTTGTCCTCACCTGGAATAAATTCTGCAGACACTCATGTGTGCAATAGTATTTAAACTATATTATGTTCGCAATATCTACTGCCAAACGCGTTTTACTCAATACAGAACTTATCAGGCCAGATGGGACACAAAAAATATGGGTGCGGTCGGAACAATATTTATATGAGACATTTATTACAACAACAGTTGTTCTGGTGTGAACGTCTTTTATAAGCTGGTGAAGCATGATTATAATTAGTAATTGGTTCATTAGGTCGAAAACGAAATCTAATAATGAAGATTAGAGACTCAACAACAATTGTAAATATTTTTAATAGTTAAACGTTTCGAAATTATACATATTCCATCATTAGCAAATATACGAGAATAGTCTATAGGAATAATTTTCAATATAATGAACTAACTTTAAAAATATTCATATAAAACAGCTATTTGAATTATAGCAAGAGGAGTTGAAATTTTTTGTAAAACTTTAGTTTTTATTTATACTTGTAAATGTCGTAATATGGAAACATTCTTTTATTAAAAGTTTGTAATCATTACAACCACAATTTAGGGCAAAAATGGATCTTTTCTGTTTCATGAACCGTGTTCAAAAAGAAAAGAATATATATTTTTGAACGTGGTTTTTAATGCAGATTTCACAAATATAAATCTGGAGAACTGAAAAGAAATATTATATATATGTGTGTGCTAGGTTATGTCAGTTTACGTGAGGTTAGACTAATTAGTAAATAACTACATGTTTATTTAAATAAAAAATATATTTCATTTAAAAACTGAAAATATTTTCCCATTTCTTCCACTTTAAAAATCAATTTTCCAAATTTTAATTTATATTTCTGAAACCTGCAGCAAATTGAAATTACTTAGGATGTGGTTAAGAGTTTTGTTTTTAATTATACACAAGGGATATGTGTGCTCTGCCCACCACGGGTATCGAAACCCGGTTTCTAGTGTTGTAAGTCCGCAGACATACCGCTGTGCCACTAGGAAGCACGTTTAAGAGACGTAACAAGTTCATTTGGCATCGTAGGAATGAAAACGATGATCTCTTCAAGCAAATATTTAAGAATATTTCTGAATTTTCACATTGAATTTGTTACATTGTCATTAGATACTTTGTACTGTCTTGATGTTTTCCAATTCTTTTAAATACATAGGTACATATGTAATGCTAAAAGTACTTTCTTTGTTTCGTAAGCAAAATAAAAAATATAAAAAATATTTATTTTCATTTCTCCAAATTTTAATTTATATTTTTGAAATCAGCATTAAAAGCTAGATTCAAAAATATATATTCATTTCTAGTTAAACGCGGTGCGTGAAACAGAAAAGATCCCTAAAAATAATATATTTCAAATAGTTATTGTAATAAGACCAATTTTTTATTTTATTTTTTGATATGCTTTGGGTTGTTTATTGTTAAACACGAAGCTACAAGCTATCTTCCCAACGCAGGTATCGAAACCCGATTTATAGTGTTATAAGCCTTCAGACTTATCGTAGTCATTAAAATTGATAAACTCTACTTTTAGTCAAGAGATGGCACTGCCATATAAATTTCTAGTCTCTATTCTAATAAAACAATGGTCTGGTACTGTGCTAATTACTTTCTAAAAGCCCAGTAAAAAAAGAGAAAAAAAACTATTGACAAATGGTATTAGTTTAGATGATTATTAATAAATCCGAAACACATTCTGGGATATCATGCTTACAATAAGATTGGGCCATTAACCACTAAAATATGATTCATGTTGAAATGACACCATTTATTAATTTTGTTTGTTTATTTGTTTGTTTTTAGAACAAAACCAGATAGGCTAACTGCTGTCCCACCGGGGAACACGCCTTTACTTTTTGAAAGGGAGATCAGCAGTGTCGTAACCCATATTGTTTGGTTTCTGTATAGATAATATTTTCAAACTGTTGAACTCGGAAAACCTCATGAAAATGAGGCCGATTCAAAAATTCGTATGTGTTATAGGTTAACATTTCAAGTAGTACGCAGTTTATTTGGTATAACAAAATACACTTTATTTATAAATAGCGTTCAACAAATATTTAAAAACTATTTTGTACTTATATCTTACTTCGCAGTTTACACCATATGTAACATTGCATACGTTTCTAAATGAGTATTACTCAGTAGCCAACTTAACGAACATTACTTAGTAGCCAATCTGTCTAAACTTCCAACTGTTCTTATGAAAAAACACATTAAAAATGGTTTCAATACAAGAATAACTTATGTTATCAAATAAAATGTCTTATTCTACTGATTTGAATTTTAAAACTTTATCTGTCTCTTTGACAGTTCGGCACAATTTCAGGGTTTTAAACGAAAGATGGAAAACAAGTTTGAGCACATGCAGCTACATAAATTAAACCAATATTCGTACTTCCTTCCTCTACAACACCAATAATAAATGTATATATGTTATACGTGACAAGAAAGATGTACAATTCTCTTTTAATTTTTATGGAACAGTAGAATGGATTTCGCCACATAATATTTTGTTTATATGTCTGTTTATTGTTAAGCGCAAACTACACAATGGGTTATCTGTGCTCTGCCTACCGCGGTTATTAATAATAAATATGAATTTTTTAAATTACATGTATTTTATCCCTGTTTTGTGATTACAAGTCACATGAAGTAATAGATTAATCTAAGACTAGTATTTAATTTGAATCAAATTTTACAAAACAAATTAGTATTTAACATAAGAGTAGCCCAAGAGTTGGCGGTGGGTGGTGATTACTAGCTGCCTTCCCTCTAGTCTTACACTGTTAAATTAGGGACGGCTAGCGCAGATAGCCCTCGTGTAACTTTGCGCGAAATTCAAAAAACAAACAAACAAAAACAAGTATTTAACATATCAATGAAATAGAAAACTACTTCCAGTTTCAAACTTAAAACTAAAAGTTGAATGACAAATATGGGTCAAATATATATTATGTTCTTGAAAATGCCATTTGCCTAAATTGTCTTTATTTTTTCGTGTTCATTGACCGAAGAAGCATTGTGCTACAGTTCATTTGCAGGTAAGCAAATAATGAATTACAATGTACTAACATGATCTAATGTTAGATGTCGAAAAACTTCTTTTTTTTTTTTTTT